CCCTCAGCCAAAGAAAACAAAGATGTACACGTAAGTTCAATGAAAATGAAAACCATTGCACCCAAACATGTGGGCGACAGCCCCAGCCAGCACTGAGTGCTTCACATCAGCCAAAAGAAAGTCCTCAAAACCATACTCTACGTCCCTAGGCTCAAGAAGCTGGAGTTGCAGGTAAATCATTAACAAAAAGCAAAGCAAAGAAAATATAGGGTGAATACAGGAAAAAAAAAATCAATGAAACAAAAATCGCTTATTAACATAAAGCAAGAAAATAAACCTTAAAAAGGCTGACAGGTGTTTTTGTTGTTTGTTCTTGACACAAATTACCAGCATCAGGAAAGAAGTTGTCTTAGTTACTTTACTATTGCTGAGATAAAACACCAAGACCAAGGCAACTTATAAAACAAAGTTTAATTGGGTTTAAGGTTCCAGGGGGCCAAAGCTTTTGATGGCGGAGAGGTGAAGGGGCAGCTGGACTAGAAGCTGAGAGCTCACATCTTTATCCTCAAAGGGCATATTATTGCTGGCTGCAGGCCTTTGAAACCTCAACGCCTGAATCCAACAAGGCCACACCTCCTAATTCATCCCAAACAGTTCTACCAATGGGGGACTAAATATTCAAACATACCAGTCTATGGGAGCTGCCACAGTAGCTATTACAACAGAACCCACATTCATCTAAAACAACAAGGACGCTACAAATGCTGTTTACATCCATAAACCCAACAAATTAGAAAAAATGTACCCCTTTCTCAAAACCCGGAAAACCACCAAAGTATAAACAAGATGAAGCCGACATCCAGAATAGTCCCAGAAGCACGTAAACACGTAGAACTAAGACTAGAATCTAAAATGTATATCCTCTGCCCTCCCTCCCCGCAGACATCTACAACCACATTCTCACAAGAGAAGTCAATACTGGCTGAGATTGTGGCTCGGTCAGCAGAATGCTTGCCTACCATGCATGAAGCCCTGGGTTCGATCCCCAGCACTGCATACAAAAGGGAACAGGGGCACACGCCTGTAGTTTCGGCACTTGGGAAGTGGAGGCAGGAGGACCAGACAATCAAGCACCAAGCACATCTTTGGCTACATAGTGAGTTCAAGGCCAGCCTGGGCTACATGAGGCCCTATCTCAAAAAATAAACAAACAAAAACCCCAAAGCATTAATGCTGCTTTCTCATAGTTTCTTCTGGAAATACAAGAGGAGGACTATTTCTCAACTCATTAAGTCCTTAATATCGAAAGCAAACAGCCATAACGGACACCTCTCAAGGTGTGAAAATCTCTCAATAAAATACTCAATTCAGTCCAGCACTGTATACAAATAATATGTTCGGCCCAAGTAGGGTTTATCCCAGGCATACAGATAGCATTTGACCATGTAAATCAAACACAGTAACACACCATGCAAACAGGCTAACAGAGTCACGGTGCAAACATATCATTAAAACCTAACTCTGAAAATTCTCAGGAACCTAGCAGTCGGGGTAAAACTTCCTAATTTTTATTACTTTTATAAAAGTATCTTCAAAATACCTATAGCCAACATAGTTATACAGTTAATGATTTCGCTCCTTAGACAGAAAGCTGCTGTCCCTTGAGCTGCTTTCATGACTTCTATCCAACATAATTACTAAGTTCTAGTCGGTGCAGCAGGACAGGGAAAGAAATGAAACAGTCCCTATGCGCAGATGACGCGAGTGTCTACAGGGACTGCCCAAGAAATTACTTTATTTACTTGTGTGTATACACACATGCACATGTGTGTTGTGTCTGTGATAGGGGGCACAAACTCAGAGGTCAGAAGATACCTCCCATCTCACCACAAATGTGCTGGGATTAGATAGATGTTATCAAATCCTGCTTTATGTGTGGTCTGTGTTCCGCTCCCAGTATGGTAAAAACAAAACACAACTCCATGGACAGGCTCACAGACAGAGCTCCACAGATCCCAACATTTGGTGTCTTCTGTTAGGCACACTCCGGCATCAGACAGATGTCCTATCTCCCGCAGGGAGCTCTCAACCTAAAGAAAGGGCCAATTGCCATAGGATGCTGAGGGGTACACAGAAGAATGAAAACTAACCGTAACCCGTGAATTCTGCTATGCCAGAAACAAGTCTAAAGTTTAAGACATCCGCAAACACCTCACAGAGATGTTACTGCCAATCACCATTCATCCTCTCTGTATTTCCAGTTCATACTGACTATGCCTCAGACTGAGAATGAGGATCAAGTGATGCAGAAAACACATATGGAACAAAAACAAGATAAAAGGCAGCCGATGAGTGTGCGGAAGGTTTTTATTAAGATAATCAGGTGTTCACCAAGAAATAGTTTGGCAAGTCAATCCTCCCCAAGTATATGGAGGTGAATATCAAGCAAAGGGGTAGTTTCATTACACTGACCTCCACAGTGTAAACAAAATGTTCTTTCAAGATGTTTTCAGAAAAATCGGATACAGAGGAAACTGTGGAAGACATCCTAATACAGTGTCTACCTGCTGGGTATCTCCAATGAGACTCAGACACAAGGATGTGGGGTTCAGCTCAGTAGAGGAGAATTTACCTAAATGGGGAAAGCCCAATCTCAAGAAATTAGTGGGGGAAGGATACAAGGACATAGCTTTTAAGACACGCCTATGTCTCCTATCACATGCTGCCAGTGGAGAAGAGGAGCCCCTAGCTAAGCAGGACCTCTGCGTAACCTCCCATTTGTGTTCCAGTGGGTCATACCAATCATAAAGGCTCCTTTGTGAAAAATGTATTTTGCAATAACTTATCAAAAGCACCATTGAAGATCTTAATGGTTGAGTAAAAAACACTAAACAAGTCCATAAAGACTGAGACCCCATCTCAGCTCAGCCTAAGCAGTCTATAGGCAAAAGCAAGATTGTGAGACTAGCCAGAAAAAACATCAGTTGTGGACAACATTTTACGTGTATTTAATATGTCTCCTATCACATCCAGCTAAGTCCTATTACGCACCCCATCCCAACATACCCTCTCCCCAAGCAAAACTCTCAAGAACTTACTGTTAAAAACCTACCTTGGTGCATTAACTTCACACAAACCCAGTAACTTATTGTTTTTAACCTATGCACTCACCTTAAGGTACCCTCCCAAACTCCTGGAGTGTAGTTAACACTGCAAAGGTACAACCATTAACTCTGCCTAAGAATTTAGATTGTGATCTTTAAAGTCCTGTACCTGCCATCTCAAATCATGGTGAATGACATTATAATTAGCTTCCTAATAGTACAGGACCCCAAACAAAACAATTATGACTTTCTTCACATTAGAAAAGACACTGACTCATCCACTGTTCCTAGTTAACAGGGAAGGAGAAAATATTTCCCCAGATTACCCCACCACCTGCAGAGATCATTACCCTGGCCAGCAGTGTAAAACTCTAATAGCTTCCAGAGAGTCCTTAAATGCATAGGTTTTTAAGCACATATGCCAGGGAGCCCCGCTAACTCAGCACATGCTGTAGATGTATGCATATGCTAGGCTACTTTACGGTAGAACGGTGGCAAGCGTCTGTTCTGAAACACTACTACAAGTAATAGCTAAAGTAATAGCGGACATAAGACTTCCAGCTCCTTTCAGTTAGGAGGGCTTAACAGTCCCCAGAACTCAGGCAACGCGCAGCTAACATATGGCTTAGATATCAAATGTGCTAACTGATACCACGAACAAGTTCCTGATGTCTTCTGCAGGACAGGCTAGCCGGACACATACCAAACATGGTTCTGGATGATAAGGATCAAAATACATACTTTTGCTTTTGGTGGAGAAGTGACATGCAGAGCCATCTCTTTCCTGGGGTGAACCAGAAATGTGCATAGCCCCAGTCACAAGCTAAGAGGTCTAAAGAGTCAAATTCAGTCTACAGATGTCTCAACCTGGCTTTTAACAGTCACTAAAGGAGCTTAAGTAGTTGTCAATGTTTAAATGTTGGATACTTGACTTCAGAATCCGCAGGCCTGGTTATGATGCAGTATAGAAACACTGGCACTCTAAGACCTCAAGTCCCCATGGCCATAATCAGGGGCAACCTTAATGCTGATGGGGCAAACACTCTCCCAAATGCCACTGAGCTTACTGGCTCTGTTCCCTCACCAGTTTTACTGTGCATCACCATGGATATGTTCTCTTGGTTTAAGAGTCTCACACAGATCTGGGAGTTGTTAGGGGCAGGGGAATGAGTTTGATCAAATGAGACTGTATGCATGAACGAAATCTCAGAAATAAGAATGTATTTTTTTTTTTTTTTGGTTTTTCGAGACAGGGTTTCTCTGTGTAGCTTTGCGCCTTTTCCTGGAACTCACTTGGTAGCCCAGGCTGACCTCGAACTCACAGAGATCCACCTGGCTCTGCCTCCCGAGTGCTGGGATTAAAGGCGTGCGCCACCACCGCCGGCAAGAATGTATTTTTTTAAGAAAGATTCTAACACTGACTTTAGCCCTTGAAATAAAAATCCACAATCTAATCTCATCCATATTAAGTCCAATCCCTTGAAGCAAGAAGGAGCTTAAAGGGGAATTTGGGCATAAAAGCATCTTCAGGGTTCTATGTTAGGTTTGCTGGAGACAACCTCTGTGGACCCTGTCTTCAGAGATGATCAATTTGCCCATCTCTTTCTTCACATCCCCAGTGGTTATTAAACTATTTTATATATCTGACCAGGTCCTTTTCTAACACAATGGCATTAATATCTAAGTTTAGTAGTTGAGACCAATTATACCCTGGTTATAAACTTCGGCTTGAAGGCTGCAGAGACTCAAACTTTGCAGCTCAACGGGTTGATGATGTTTGTACTTCCATAAATTCATGCCACAAAATTTACAAATTACAAAAACGTGTTGAGCTCTCCAAACGTCTTCCATTTCCATCAAAATATAGAACAAGTCATTCCACCAAGGCTTTAATTACCACCCACATCCTTGAAGCCAGTATTCAAACAAGCACACACCACCTGCCTCTTTTCTTACCCGGGCATGGCTTACCCATCGCACTGAGATAATGGTTGAAGGCCTGGCAAGGAGGACTTGGGGTTTGTGTTGACTTGTCACAACTCATGGGTGCCGGACTCCTGTCTGTGTCAAAAGAGAAATACCCACTGGAGGACCGGGACAGCAGAGAAGATCTTCTCACAAAGATGAAAAGTGGGGATCTGGTAGCAAAAGGCCCAGGGCTGGCCGGTGGGGCCAGCGGGCCCTGAGGGCTGCCGTGGGGGCAGCGGTCCCCTTCGCCGACGCCGTCAGGATTACCTTGCGGTTCTGTCTGTAGGGAGGTAGGAGCCCCAGGCCTAAGCTGGGGAGGCCTCTCAGCAGGCTGCAATTGTCCACCTTCTCTATCACACTCAGAACTTACATCAGAAGGTTGCTTGGCCATTTGGTCTTTTTTTCTGCAAGGAAATTGGGGGGGGGGAAAAAAGATTATCTTCAGCAAACTAAGTTATAAAATCATTCCACCTACTCCTTACGAATTCTAGAGTCAATCTTATATCTTTGTTATGTTTACTTTTCTGATCATCTTCCAAGTAAGATTAAAAGTGCACCCAAAATAATGAAGGTGTTTAATTTGGTGCAGGGTGGAACTAAATTAGACCACCAAACAAAACAAAGTATCAACTCCATAGCTTGTGGAGTCGGTGCGCTCACGCACATACACAAGCACAGAAGTTTCATGAGGAGCAGCTTGTGGGAAGCCTACTACATTTCGTGCTTTTCGTTCAGGACAAACTTGAATTAAGTCTGAAAGTCCCAGCGGGCTCTCATTTCCCGGGCTCAGACGCGACGCTGGAGCACAGGAGCGGGCGCAGATGCAGAGATTGCAGGCGGCTGGCCGCCTTCCCTGCTCCGGCCCCATTGTTTGCCGAAAATGCTGAGGGCAGCAAGTCTGGAGAAGGTTTGGCAGCGGCCGTCAGTCGTAGTAAGTGCGTCACAATAGAGTTTGTAACTCCGAGCGCAGCTCCGCCCGGGTCGAGCGCCCTCGGCCGCAAGGTCCCTCCTGCTGCCAGCCCCTGCGCGCCACCCCAAACACGAAACCACTTCTCTCGGGAGCAACCTTGCCCGAATGTGTACACTTCCAAATGGGGGCCTTCGGAGCCATCCCCTTTGCAAGCTTCACACCTAACTGAGCGCGCTCGGCAATACCCGGCGCGCGGCTGCTTCCACCCCGGAGACTCTTTCCCTCCCCGGGCCACCACGACGAGACTCACGTCCTCCCCTTCCCTTCCGAGCGCGGTGTCCTGCGCCGATCGGACGACCCCAGAGCGTCGCCGCCGAGGAGGCAAGGAAAACAAAGCCGGGCCCTGGGCTCCAGAGTCCCGCGCCTGCCCGTCCGCCCGCCGCCACGCTCCGCCGGGGAGCCCAAGGTTTCGCGCGCCGCGCCTGTGGCCCGCGCTGCACCGGCCGCCGCCGGGATCATCCTCCGCCTCCTCCCGCTCCGCCCCTCGCGCGCAGCTCCCGCCGCCGCGCGGGTACCGCCAGCCCTGCGCCGCTGGCGCCGGCTGCCAGTGCTCCCCATTGGCCCGCGCGCGGTGGCTCCCCATTGTAGCCAATGGGCAGAGGCGGCGAGGGCGGCGCCTACGGGTCAGGCTGCCGAAGGCGAGGCGATTGTTGACAAACTCGCCGCCCAGCGCCGCTCCGGCTCTGCCGGCCGCCGCAACTCTGGCTGGAACTTAGGGGGCCGGGCTGCTTCGCTCCGCGCCGCGCCCCGCCCCTGGGCCCGGCCCGGTCGCCGCGCGCCCTGCGGGAGTTCCCGCCGCCTGGGCAGCGGGACACTAGAGACAAAGCGGGACCCGCGTCCTCCTGGGATCTACCGGGCCGCGATCCCACTCCAGGCAGCTCGAGGCAAAGACCCTCCGCAGTCCCGAGCCGAACTTCTCTGCAACTTCACCTGTTGTGCCCCATGTGCCACCGACACGCACCCATTATGAACGACCACCTCGGGTCTTGGCGTGTACATCGAAAGCCCTAGCGTCCAGTTAGCCCTCCATAAGCAGCGCCTGCCTGGGGGCAAGAGGTCCGGGAGCTCACCAAACCACCAGCCTGTGCGACTGGATCCCGGTGCGATCCCGCTCCATAGAGCCGACCGGGCAGTCAGCTGCCCGGGGCTCGGAACACGCGTAGCCTAAGTGGTCCTGGGAGGCCTATGGGGTCTTTCAGCTCCTGTAGATACTGTGGCCCTCAGCGTCCATAGGACGCTCGCAAACTGGACAGGGCCGCCAGGGACATCCGGGAAAGAGAAATCGGCCACTGTGGCCAAACCGTGGCTTGAATGAATACAAGCAAAGTCTGGGCGCGTGTGATTTTAATACTCAAACCTCCGCAATGAAGCCGCGCCAGCGAAGAGTCAAGCCTACCGGCTCGCGGTTAACGCGCGGCTACTTCTCCCGGGCCGCCTGGCTCGCGGCGACGCTTCCCGGCTGGACGTACTGCCGGGCACCACGGAACGGGTCCTCGGCTCCAAGCCGAGACTATGCGCCCTCCCGGCCCGCGAGAGATGCCTCACCAGCCCTTCGTGCGGCATCCCGGCCCAAGCCAGACTTCGGCTCAGTGCTCGCAGCTTCTGTGCCTACGACCCTTTCCCAGAAGTGCCCTGCCAGGCAGGGACCTCGGCGCGACTCGCGGCATTCGCCTCCTGCAGCCGCGCGCCAAGCGGGACAACCCAGCGCCTCCACCCGCACGTGCGACACCGGAGACAGATGAAGCCGCTCTGCGTCTGCGGCGCCTGTCTTCCATCCGTCCCCGGCGGGCGCCCCCGGGAATCGCGAATCGCGGAGTGTTTACCTTGCGTTTCTCAGTCCGAGAATCAGAGTCAGACATTGGGGGGACGAGGGCCGGGGAAGGGCGCCGAGGAGGTGGCGGCGGGGAGCAGCAGAGGTTGTGCAGATGCAAGTGGGGCACAGTTCGCAGAGCGGCTGCAGGAATCCGGTGACGGCGAAGGCGGCAAGGACCGCAGAGCTCCAAACAGCTGGTGACCCAGTGCCTGCGGGGAGCGAAGTGAAACCAGCCTGGCCCAGCGACTCGGCTCTTACGGGGCCCCCGCTCCCGTGCCCAATCACCGCGGGCTCCGCCCCCGCTCGGTCCGGCCCTCCGCGAACCGGAAAGCAAACCCCACCCCCCCGCGGCCCTTAGGCCGCTGGCGCGTGCAGGCTGCGACAGGTACTGGCGAGGGTAACCCCGCAGCTTGCCTGCAGCGCGCGCGCTCCGCCTACCCTAGCGTGTTTACCCTAGTGACTTGGCCCGCGGGCAGCTGCATGCAAGCCCATCCTCCACCCTGAATGTACCCGCCCCTCCCTGCCCCTCCCTGTCCGCCTGTAGCGGCCACCTCGCAGAGCGGAACTTAGGGGGCGCTCAGGGCACACTGCTCTGTGTCCAGCTTGGCCGCGGGCACCAGTGGGAAGTCGCAGGAGGCGTCCCTGCGACCTTGCTTTGCGGAGCTTCTTAGCCCCAAACCATCGGTTGGTGCATTGGCCTTTGACTGTCATCTCCAAGAATTCATGGCCTCCAGGGAACCCAGATCAGCAAGATATTCACCCCTCCTCGGCTGTGCCTCATGCGGGACTCTTTAACGCCACTGCCTTCTGTCGCCATTTAGGATCTACCTGGTGTGTGTGTGTGTGTGTGTGTGTGTGTGTGTGTGTGTGTGTGTGTGTGGTTATTTTCCCCAATGCCCAGCTACTTAAGAAGCAGAGCTGGTGGTGGGAAGTACAGTTGAGAAAAAGGCAAGGGACGATCCTAGCTTCGGGTCGCAATGGGTGCGCACGGCAAGCAAATAAAATAGGGGAATGAGAAAGTAACTAAAAAAGAGTAATAAGGAAAAAAGGGGGGCTACCGAGGAAAGACGGTTGTGCCATGCGTTCTGTTGGGAGCCTCGAAATTTTTTGGGTTCACAGAGTACCGCCAGGAACTGTCTGTCCGAAGCTGGTGACCGCGGAGCAGCGGAGTTCAGATCGCGCTGGTAAAGCCATGGGGGCGGGGCGGGGGAGGGTCGAAAAATCTCCTGAGGCCTTCGTATCCCCCCCCTCCCACATCGAAGTCTCGAAGTCAATGAGGCAACACACCCTACCCCTTCTCTCTCTCACCGCGGCGGCCGGGTGAAGTTGGTCTGGAAATGGAGCATCCGGTATCCTACGTGTGAAGATTAAGGAAACTCGATTTAAGGGCTACCCAGCCCGCATCCAGGCTGGCAGAGAGAAGGAAGTGACTCTTTGATGAACAAGTGACTCGACCTGTCGTCCCAATGTCGGACCATCTTGGTCATTTCGGTGTTTATAAGCGGTTCTAACGTCAGCGTGACACAGCACAGCCCTAGGTTAAAGTCTTGGTTCTCAGATAAATCCTGAGGGAGATCAAAGAAGCCACTGGTTCTCAGAGGAGCTGGAGGGCTCGTGACAAAGCCGTGTCACTTCTGTGGGTGAGGGGTGTTCGCTACAAGAGCGCACAGGGCATTGGTGTGGATGCCGCCAAGTAGGCGGCAGATGCAGGTCTATCCTGACCAAGGCTGCGAGCTAGTACTGTGCCTTGGCCACTCGGCATCCCACCCATGTAACCCGGTCTGCTGCTGCTCCGAAAGCCCCCAGCCAATACCAAGTCTGCCTGCTCCGCGCTCTCAGCCGGGAGCCAGGCACCTCAGAACCCGACTAGAAAAGAACTACACGAGAAAAAAAAATCTTATCGCCACTGTTTCTTTGTAAGAGCAGGCTGCCCGGAGTCTTCCGATTTTGCAACTCTGGGCATGCTAAAAGAAAACATTCAGGCCCTGGGGAAAGCAAAGGGCTGAGCTATGGTGCTCTTATTTAGGGCTTAATTAGGAAGCCGGCCTTGAAGCGGAGGCTCTTGCATCACCAGCGATCAAGGCAGTTTAGGGAGCTTCCACCAAGTGCCTCACGACAGGTGGTCACGGGCCCCTGGGCCCTTGCAACCTTCTACCGCAGCGCCAGGAGAACTCCTGGGATCAATCTGACAGCAGAGAAGAACAGCATGGGAAGGCCAGTGGGTCACCCGTGCCTTCCTGAGGCTGGCAACCGGATGTGGAGAGAGGAAAGCAAGGCGATGGCTAGATTTGAGAATGAAACTGGGCAACGCCAAAGTCAGGACATAAATGAGAAATTCATTTCCGCCTGTGTAGTCTCTCCAAATTCCAAAACCAGTTTATTGCAGCTGTTCCCCAGGCCCACCTCCCCTACCCCTCCAAGCCGCGGGAGCACTTTTCTATCGCTTAATTTATTAAACTTTGCATCTACGCTTTTTTTTTTTAAGGGCGGATTACAGTTTAGCGCGGTGAAACGTTTGTCGCGCGCGCGTGCGTCGCCCTGCGGTCCGGAGATCGCCTACCTGGTGGGACCAGCTCGACTCCAGGGTCATGCTCCCCCTCTCTCGCCAGCCGGTTTTCTAGCAGAGCTGGAGCAAGTCTGATTCACTAATCATCCCTTGCTGAACTTTTGCCCGCGCTTGGAGTGGGTGGAGCTTTCCTCCCACCCTTTTGCCTGAGGGTGTTTGATTTTCATGTTTTGATTTTTTTTTTTCACCCAGCATCAGAGTTTTTCGAAGTCACTGGGAATCTGAGTCACTGATGACAGCAGAGATCTTTGGTGGCACCAGGCTCTGGGCAAGACCACCTGATTGTCTGGGGATCTAGTGCTGCTGCGGCTGGAAGAGGTCAAGGCAAGGGCCAGGAGAGGTTACCAGACCAGGATAAACTACAGTACTCTCCGGGCATCCACCTAGTTTCCTTCCCTCCGATAACCTGTCCTGAACCTTGCCAGCCTTAGCCAGACCTCCTCCTCTGCGTGACCAAAACCCCAAGGGTGGCGGTCCTGCACCTGCCACTTTAGCCCCTGCTCCAGCTCTGGGAGCTATTTGAAGAGAACTCGAAAGGCAAGCTGCAGACCGGCCACTACATTTCTCGACACGCCGGCAATAGCCTGGCTCACAGCTTGGACAGCTGGGAGCGCGCTCCTTCCCGCGCCAGCGTTGGCACAGGCGCCGGGTAGAAGGCCCAGGCAGCCCGGGGGTTGGGGACTCCGGCGATTGGTGCATGGAGGATGGTGTGTGGAATGTTGAAAGCAGAGATCACCTTCAGGGCGTCATCCCTCACGGACTCGCACAAATCCAGCAACTGCAAGACACAAAGGGATAGGTCGGATGTGGGCGTGCTCACGGAGGACTTTCCATCCGCCCCCAATCCCTCAGAAGGGCAGAAATTCCCCACAACACAGGAAGTTATTGTTTCTAAACAACCTGTGTCTTCTTTAAAATTTCTAAGTCTCTGACCCTCAGGTCCGGCCGAAATCTAGGTTTTTCCGCTAAGGCTCTAAGGGTAGGGGCTCTTTCCAAATACTATCCTGGTAACTAGAGACTTGCGTTTGAGAATGAACGCTGCCTCCTCTCCGCTCCCTTTTCTTCTTCCTGCCCTTCTTCACCTCTGGAGTGCCACCCTCTGGCGCGCAGAGGCAACTGACAATAAGAGCCTCTGAAAAGATGAGGGGCAGAAGAGACCTGACCCATCTCTCCAGAAGGGTGCCAACAAAGCCTGAAAGGAGCAAGCCAGGGTCCCCGTGCCTGGAGTGGACCACCAAGCAAGCCAGGGTCCCCGTGCCTGGAGCGGACCACCAAGCAAGCCAAGACTGGGCGCTGATCACTTTCCGCGCTCTCCAACTGTGCAAACTGGACGAGCGGTCCCCTGCACTCTGCTAGCCAGTGCAGGTACATCCGGATAGACTTCCCAGAAGAAGTGTGTGTGTGTGGGGGGGGGGGATGTGGCAGGCCAGAGCTTTGGAGAAGTTGCACTGGCTGGCTGTGTTTCTATTTCACTTTCCATGATTTAGGTGCCAGCACGCGCAAGGGCGGAGTCCGCCTGTTTTTCTTTTTCCAAAGCAACTACATACTGTAATTCTGACATTTTTTCAAGTCTTCATAAAGCTAGCTATACATTTCTTTGACTGACTAAATCACAACAACCTTCAGGCTTCATGGCTTGTTTTTATAGTTTTCAAAACAACTTTTATGGGCCCCATTTTTATCTTTGTGTGCTGTCCACATTTTAAGACTTTTTCCCCCTGCAACAGCCCCCCTCAAAAAAAAATTCAGGTGTTCAGAAACTATAGTGACTGCCCAAATGAAAGAGGGAGGTGGAAAGAAGTGTGGAGGGGGGGGACCCATTCAAGGGCGTCTTCCTTAAAAATGTGCCCCACTGCACCAGTGATTCCTAATGAAAAGCTTCGTTCTTCACACACCGTGGGTTAGGCACCATCAAATAAGTACTGAAAAGACTTTGATCACATTTGCAAGATGCGACAAGACAGACTGTAACTGACCAGGGTTTCCAAGTCTGTAATTAATACTCTTGACAAATCCCCAACTAATCTGTCAACTCTTGATGTCTTTAACCACACATTTCAAAACCATGATGGTATACACAGCCCCTGAACTTGCCACATGTTGTCATTCAAGATAATGTTCCCTTTGGGTTTCATTAAGGCAGCTAGGCAACTCTTGTCATGTCGTCACCAATGGGGGAAACTCGCTTTGAAAGAAGGCTTATGAGAGAACACCACGGGTTTCATTTGCCTAGTGCTGACTATAGATTGAAGGTCAGAGGTAGAAATTACAGAAAGTGGTGGTCTCTATTTGCTGTGAAGAGGAGGAGGAGAAAGAGAGGAGGAGGAAGAGGAGGAGGAGAAAGAAGAAGAAATAATAATAATAATAATAATAATAATAATAATAATAATAAGAAGAAGAAGAAGAAGAAGAAGACGAAGAAGGACTCACCAAATGGCTGGTGAGGAAGAGTATTTCTGTACTCACAATTCTCCAGTAATGACCCCATCAGACACTGAAAAAGAACATTGGACCGCCTAGGAACACCAAACATTGACTGGCAAGATAGTTTCTAAATCTCAAGTTCTGGAGTAGTCTAAAACACCCTTCCTTTCACTTTCTTCATCCTTCCTGCAACAGAACCTTGAATGTATGGAGGGAAGGACGGGCCAGGCAGGACTCTGGTCATACACCCTACTTCCGTCCAGCTTTGCCTGTTAGTAAGATCATAATCATTACCCCCTTTCACTCCTGATATTTGAACTGTAGTCCCGTCCTGTGTTGGGTACCACAATGGCCTTGAAAAGCTCATGTGCACACTGCACACTGAAGACAGTCATAACCTCTTGCATCAGGAAGCTATTGCAAAATTTCAGAGGCTTCAAAAAATGAAACCTAAGGGCTGGAGTTATGGCTCAGTGGTTAAGCACACTTGCTACTCTTGCAGAGGACCTTGGATCAAGTTCTCAGCACCCACATGGTAGCAGTTGTCTCTAACTCCAGTTCCAGGGAATCTAGTGCTCTCTTCTGGCCTTCCAGGGACACACATGGTGCATATACATACACGTAAGCAAACACTCATACACATAAAATAAAAATAAATCTTAAAATAAAAACACAATCCCCTTACTAAAAAAAAAAAAAAAAAAAGTACTTGAGTAGGGCCTGGAAAGATGGCTCAGGGGTTACAAGCCCTTGGTACTCTTTCAGAGGACTGTCATTAGATTTTCTTTGGACTGCCAGCCCCCAAATGATGACACAGAGATTTCTTATTAATTATGAAAACTTGGCTTTAGCTTAGGCTCGTTCCTAATAACTCATAACTTAACCCATTTATATTAACCTACATTCTGCCACACGGCTCATTATCTCTCCCTCATACTGTACATTCAACTTTCCCATGTGTCTCTGGCAAACTCCCCATGCCTCAGATTCCTCCCAGAGTTCCCATCTCTCTCCAGAAGTCCCTCCTATCCTCTCCTGCCTAGTTATTGGCCATTCAGCTCTTTATTAAACCAATCAGAGGTGCCTTTCACACAGTGTAAACTAATGTCCTGCAACAGAGGGCCCAAGTTTGGTTCCGAAGCACCCAGGTCAAGTGGTTCACAACTGCCTGTAACCCCAGTTCCATGGGATCTGATGCCCTGTTTTGGCCTCCGAAGGTACTTGTATGTATGTGTGTATGTATGTGTATGTATGTGGTACACATACAGACTAGCAGACATACACAGAGACACATAAGATAATAAACAGCAAATAAGAAAGCAAGCAGAAACACGAGGATCAAGACTGTGGCTATATTACTATGTAACCTGGGAGGAGGGATTCCTGTCTCGTTTGGCTCTCTATACCCACCTGTTCGAGTTTCTTACTTCTCTCCTGTTTGACTTTCCCTGCGCTGCCATATCCAATTAGGATAGGGTAGCCTAGCACCGGCAATCACAAAAATTCCCACCCTCTAAGCTCTCCAATTTCCACTCAGCAAGGCCCTGACAATATACGAGTTTGCAGGGTGTGGCACCCCACCACGGTCTGCACTCTGCGCATGAAGATTTCCTGCTTCTGTGTCTTGCCTCTGCTTCCAGCTCCAGGTGCTTTCGGGGAAACCCATGAAATGCATAGAGAGATGAGTAGCTAACCAGTTTCCTGCTTGGACACTGTGCTAGAGTCTGTATACCCATGCCACGAATGTGAGAGGGCATATGGCTCACTTAACCTGTAGAACATGGAGAAAGGGAATTCCACAACCTAGGCCTTAAAGAGGCTTTGCAGTCCCGTTCTTGCTTTCCTGTGAGTATGATACCACTCACTGTCCAGTATCACCTGCTGGAGGATGGAAACCTAATGAAGAAGGACCAAGGAGTCTTGACCAACAGTCAGCACCCACTGCTGATGCTGTCAAAGGGCCACCTTGCCCCTCTCAACACGGTTGTACCCTCTTGACTGTACCCTAGAAATGACCACATTTAAGGCTGTAGCCTCACAGAACTGGAATGAATCACCGTTGATGGCTAATGTCCAGACATGCAAAGCAAATAAACTTGCTATATCAATTATGCCCCATTTTCAAAAGGAATCAGTTGGAGTTGACTTCCATCCTCTAAAGGACCATTCGGTATCGAGTAATTTCTTGTCCGCTATTTTCAGCAAACCTGATTTTTGATGAACCTGGATATTGGGAGAGAAACCAAAAGAGAAGAGGAATTGGGACTGGGAAAGGCCTGGGAATGAAGAGTGCCTGAGTTCAGTTCTCAGAATCCACATATGGTTATAAGTGCCTATAACTTCAACTTCATGGCATCTATGTGTGTGTATACACACAGACACAGAAACATACATACACACACATAAAAAATAAAATGAATCTTTTTTTAAAAAAGCAAGAGTACTTTCAGGGCTGGAGAGATGGTTTGGTTGTTACAGTACTTGCCACACACATGCGAGGACCCACACCTGTGCTATTAAACAAGAGACATAACAGAAAGCGGTAAAACATGCATCTGCCATGCCAGCACTGCTGGAGGAGGTGGGGACTCCTGGGGCTGGCTGGCTAGACAGTCTGGCCCACTCCGTGAGCTCCGAGTTCGGTGAGAAACCCTGTCTCTGAAACGGAGAAAGAGGAGGAGAGCTACCGAGGAAGACACTCGATGTGGACTTTGGCTACCACATGCGCACACACGAGAATGTACACCCGTGCGCACACACAAGTACACGTACACAAGTGAATGGAAATCTTCAAATAATTGAGAAAAATTGTTTGATCTAAAGATGTGATGGGGATAAAATTCAAGCTACCGGTGAAATGAGGTTTCAGTATTACTTCTGTTTTGTTTTTGAGACAGTCTTACTGTATAGCCTTGGCTATAAGTGGCCTGGAACTCACTTTGTAGGCCAGCCTGGCCTGAAACTCAAGATATCTACCCGACTCTGCCTCTCGAGTGCTGGGATTAAAGGTGTGCGCCACCTAGTCCGGCTTCTGTATGATTTGTGGCTATCACTCAATATCTTTGCTCCTGTTGTGACTTATAACTGGCAATTTTCACTGAACACCCAGAGGCCTTGCTCGGGCTCATTCCCTACCCATTTATACCCCTTTAAGATTTTTACCTTGGCTGACTTTGATTGTCAACTTTATTGGATTAATAAACATCTAGAACATTCATGAGACTCACTTTGTGTATGTGCATGTGTGTGTGGCAGGGGAGTTCTGATGGCTTTTAAGGAGAGGATTGCTCTGAGCCAGCCAGGAAAACCACTTTGAATGCAGGCTGAACCACCCCATCGGCTGGGGTCCTGCCT